TGGCGAGAGCATTGAAGGAGATTTTTTAGATGGCGACGAGATCATCATCACGGGAGAGCATGAAGGTATGCACTGTTGGTTCACATGCGTTCACACTTTACACCATGGTCAATCTCTCCCAGCCACTATCGTGTGATCGCTATTGCTACAGCTTGGCGCATTGGTCTGCTCTGCTCTGATGTTCGGGCTCAAAGGCTTGAACTTCCACCAGACAAAGTCTCTGCCCCCTGTCGAGCGAGATTCGTGTATCTGCTTCGTCTTCTTGGTCCTCATTGCCATGATAAATGCTACTTGGCTACGCACTTCTCGATGAGAGCTTGCAGGGGGCCTTGCCAGCCTGCTTGGTTTTACCATCCTCAGGGAGCTAACAATCCCAATCTCATGTAGCGAATGGCGGCCCATGGAAGAAGCTCGCATCTCGCCGAGGCCTGACTGTCAAGGTCTGGAAGCACACCCAATGCCCCGAGTTGCCCAACAACCCCTACGCCGTCTCCCTCAAAATCGACACGCTCCTCCCCCTTATCACGTCCAAGACGCGCCTGATCACCTTCACGGGCTGCTCGAACATTCTCGGCACGATCGTCCCCATCAAAGAGTTCACCGCCGCAGCGCGTGCACGCGCGCAGGAGGTCGGCGCGCGCAAGCTCGAGGTGTGCATCGACTGTGTCGCGTACGCCCCGCACCGGCGCGTCGACGTGCGGGACTGGGACGTCGACTACTGCTTCTTCTCGCTGTACAAGGTGCGCCTCCTCTCCCGTCCCCCCTCCCTTCCCGCCGTCCGCTGAGCGCAACCCCCGGCACAGATCTACGGCCCGCACATCGGCGCGCTGTACGCACGGCGCGCGAGCCTCACGCACTCGGTCGCGCCGCTGACGCACCACTTCCTGTCCGGGCCGCACACGTCGTACAAGCTCACGCCCGGCGGGCACGGCTACGAGCTCGTGTACGCGTGCACGGCCGTCCCTGCGTACCTCCGCGCGCTCGTGCCGAGTGCGTCGCTCGACGACGCGTGGGCCGCGATCGCAGAGCACGAGCAGAACCTCGTCCGCCCGCTGCTCGCGTACCTGAAGAGCAAGGAGGCGCGCGGCGTCAGGATCGTGGGCGAGGAGACGGCGGGACCCGCGCGAGCGCCGACGGTCTCGTTTGTCGTCGTGGGAGAGAGGCCGATGGCTAGCCGGGACATCGTCAACGTTTTTGATCAGAAGAATAGCGTCAGTTATTTCCGTTCCGTTCTATGGAGCGCAGGTTGCTGACGTCCTTGCAGATTGGCATACGCAACGGCCACTTCTACGCTTACACGCTTGTCGACGCGCTCAGCCCGAAGATCGACATTGATGACGCAGTCGTCCGCATCTCCCTTGTCCACTACAATACCGTTGAAGAGGTGCAGAAGATTATCAGCATCTTGGAAGAGGTCCTGGCGTGATAGTTCTGCAAAATCAAAATTGAATGTATATTATTGTACAACTGTCCTTGTAACTATGAAGTGAATTAAACACCACAAGGGATTTTACGACTAGGGTAGCTTTGCATCGCTGAGCAGCTATGAAAGCTGTTCCTGCTTCCAATACTCGATGTATGCCCTGATGTGCTCCTCGCTCAAGGCAACAGAAGCGTCCAGCGTTGGCGAGAGCTCCCGTGCTTTCGCCGTGTCCAGGACGACCTGGCCCGTCGCCATCCGCAGAAACTCGTCTTCGAGGAATGGTATGATCTTCACGCACGGGTTCGTCGCGGCGTCGGAGTCTGCCTTGACCTTCTGCAGCCACTCGGCGTATGGCGGAAACTCGTCAGACGGGACGCCGAGCGCAGAAGCGATGACGCGCAGGATGACGGTCCATGGCTGGCGCGAGGGATTCTCCATGTGCAGCGTACCAGACGTGCGTGCACCGAAGAGGAGCTCGGACATGACCTTGGCGGCGCGATTGACCGGGACCCAGGAGGCGTGCTGCGCGCGGCGCAAACATGAGCCTGCTGCAAACGAGACTCAAAAGAGAAAGCGCACCCCTTCGATGGCCGGCACCCGCCCGACGGCCCTGCAGGACTTGACGATCATCGGAAAGTGCTCCGCAGCGTTCCACGCGCCTGTCGCCTCGGCACCCGTCATCTGCCCGATGCGTACGCTGTTCACGACCACCCGGTCTGCGAACTGCTCTGCCGCACGCGCGAACATCTGCTCGCACACCCACTTGGCCTCGGCGTACCCAAAGTGGTCGACGGCGCGTGGGTCCGCGAGCGGTGTCTCGGGGATCGGCGCAGAAGAGCCCGTCACCAGCGGGTACCGCCCAACGACGGCGATGGACGACGAGAAGAGGAGCTTGACGGGCGTGGTGGATGTGCTGTCGAGTGCGAGCTGCAGAACGTGCTTCGAGGCCTCGAGGTGCGGGCGGAAGGAGGTCAGGGAGCGGTTAAAGTCCATCGGCCAGGCTAGTTGACATCACGTCAGCTATGCTCCTACTCGTCTGATATGTATGGAGCTTACCGTTGTGGATGATGTGCGAGACCTGCCGAAGCGCAGTGTACGTCTCCTCACTCAGCTTGAATTGTTCGGTGCCGAGATCACCCTCAAGTAGCTCGACTTTCTCCCACAAACCGTCCATTTTCACGCCGAGCTTCTGCAGGCTCTCCTCCTGACGCTCGCGAAGGGGCTTTCTGCCTACACGGTTAAGCGCGTACACCTTCGTGACGTCGGGGGAGGAAGCGAGCTCGTAGAGAATTGCACTACCAAGGCTGCCCGAACTGCCGGTGAGGAGTACAACCGCACCCTCACCGTTGGCGGAAACCAGTCCAACCTCGGTCGCGGGACGCAGCTGAGAGACTTTCTGCACGTACTCCGCCGCGACGCTCTTCATGTGCACAATCCGGTCCTGCGTCATACTTCCCTCGCCGCAATGCACACGAATGGCATTGTACAACAGCTCGATCGACGGGTTTGCATAGACGACGTCGAGGGGTAGGGGCATGATGGTCTTGCCCGTCTCTTTCGCAGCCAGCGCAACCGCAGCGTTGAGCCGGCGCCGCAGCATCGTCGCCTGGAGCGAGTCCATGCCGCGCTCAAACAAGTCTTCGGCGTCGGCGAGGGCACGAGGGGTCGTGTACGCCGCGAGCACTGCTCTCCGTACTACGGCCCTCAGCTCCTCGGGTTCGCCGAGCGGGAGTGGTTCCGCTTCCGCCACGTCCGCGCGCGCGTACAGTGCGTCAATCTGCTCCTTGAACACTTGCACGTTCGGCCCGCGGGGGATGCTGCCCTTGGGCGTGCGCACGAGCGGCAGCACGGCGGGATGCGTCACGACCAGCATCTCGCGGGAGACCCGTGCGTGGTGGTCCGTGCCCTCGTTGCCCGCGGCGACGGCAGGCCAGACCGCGTCGACGTACGCGCGCACAGCGGCTGCGTCGGTGACGTCGAGCGGTACGTGCGGCGCAGCCTCGACGAGGAGCCCGAGCTGAAAGCGGCCGTCGCCGAATGCCAGCGCGCCGCGCACGAACGGGTGCTCTGCGACGCGTTGCTCGAGCGCGTGTGGACGCACCTTCTCGCCCGTCGCGAGCACGATGAGGTCGTCGGCGCGCCCCGCGATGCGGAACTCGCGTGTGGGATTGGTGGGGTTGCATACCAGGAGGTCCTGCACAGCGAAGTCGTCGGCAGCCAGCGGCGGGCGGCCTGTCAGGCGGAAGAAGCCCGCCTGCTCGCCCGAGAGCGGCTCGAAACGCAGGTCTAGGTCGTCCCGTACGCGCAGATAGTGCCAGTCGTAATCGGCCCCCGGGATGACGATGGGCGCGATGGCGCCGATTTCTGTGACGCCCCAGTGGTTGAGGATCGGGACATCCGCGGTAGATAAGGCCTCAGCGACGGTGAGCTTCATGGGAGCACCTCCGACCGCAACGAAATTCAGGCGCTTCAGCGCCTCGACGCCTCTGTTGTCGTCTAACAAGTAGATTTCCTCGAGGATAGACGGGACGGTCAGGAGCGAAGTCGCACCAGACAATCGGAGGATCTCGTAGGTAGAAGTCCCAGTCGGGATAGTCGTTGAAGCGGGCAAGGCGAAAGGTAATCCAATGGACAGAGATAGACTAGGCGCAAGAAGCCCGAAACCCTGTATGGTATGGTGTGTCAGCATGAATAATTACAATTTCGGGACTAGCACGTACGTGAAACAGCGGAAGTGTGGAGACGTTTACGGCATCTTGTACCTGCTCGGGGGTGAGCTGATGACATGCGCAGTACCCAAGAAGGTATGCATGTGAATGAAAGATCGGCTTCGGCAGACCTATACCATCGTGAGCAAGCATTCCAGCCAGCGTTACCAAAATTCAGGTACTCACCGGTCGTCCCGGAAGAGTGCAAGATAACGACGTTACGGTCCTCGTTGTCGACATATCTCGGCGGCGGAGGCACGCTGTCGGGATCCAAACTACTGGAGGGATCCAGGAACTCTGCGTATGGTGGCACTTGATGAAAAATGGGTACGGGTCCCTCGTACTCGCCGGCTTGAAAAAGATTTCGTGACTCAGTGGCCAGGAATCGAGCTGCGGAGATGCGAGAATTGCCTTTGCGTCAGTCTTCTTGACAAGATGCACAACTGCCTGCGGGGAAAGCCGTGCAGACATGCACAGCACCTAAGAGGTAATGTTCAGATGTCGAGGCCGACTTGGACTCGCCAGGAACGCGATCACGTACCGGAACGCCCAGACGGAGCAGGGACAAGAAGATGATGAACCACGTTACATCGCTCGACATCAGCATTGCAACCGGGCGTGACTTGACGACCTTGCCACCAACATGTTGCGGCCGCTGCGCCAGACCTTGCGATGCTAACCATGCCGAAGAGCGTAGAACGGCCTGGTAGAGGTCGCCGTGGGTGATGAAGTGCGGTGGGGCATGGATGTCGTGACCGTACTGTGCACAGAACAGGTGGTCCCGATTGTACGTCGCGTTGAGCTCGACGAGGTCGGGCAGGGTTTGCAGGTAGCCTTGTTCTGCGGTCGTCGGCTTAGAGACGTCAAACTTGGGGCGAATGAAGGGTTCGCTCTGGGGCGTGCTAGCAAATATCTCGATGGCCATGCCAGGCCTGCGCAAGTAAGATTGGGAGAGCGGGAGTATTCAAGATATGAGTGAGTGACGGGCTTTGAGGCTGCGGTATATATAGCGCACGGCTCATCTTGGTACGCTTTTTGGAAGAGGAGAAGCTACAAGCGGAAAAACGACACATGGCAGCAATGTAAACCGAACCAGAAAGGTACATTATACAGCACTGCGTACGATATGCTTAGTATGTTTGCACGATCCTTAGGGGATAGTACATACCTTGCACGATCGGGGGCATCTTATCTGCGGCACCCACATCACGGCACAAAGTTCCGGTTGACGCGAGGAAATCGCTGGGACGTGTTTGATTGCATCCGTGACCCCGCAGCGCGCAATTTTACCAAATGTTCTCCATAACAACACAAGGATAAGCGCAGCGCAAAACAGCGTGAATGCGCACCACGGCGTCGGGCAGCAACGCGTGGCAGTCGGACTTCCGTCAAATCCCCAGGGGAGGTTTAGCCTAAGTCCCGCCGGAGTTGTGGTGGGGCAGCGAGATTCAAGACTGCACTAGCATAAGTATGTGGCGCAAAAAAACGACTTTGGCACGTATATGGTGGAGGCGACAATTATTTGTTCATACGGCGGCAACTTGAAGACATGTAGCATTACTCGGGTCCCCGGACATTGGTCTTGAATGTTGGACGTAGGACTGCCAGGGGATCGAGGCATGTTAAGGCCAATAAATCGTGCGCAGAAGGCATTTCGAAGGCGCTGAAAGCTCAACAAAAATGAGATTTGGATTCAGCACGGCGCAAATTGACAGAGGCAAAGTTACCAGACTTATTGCGCCTCAAATGACCATCGCACCAGACGCGTTGTGTCTGACATTCAAGAGTCTGACAAGGTGAGAGTTAGGTGACAGCACGGCGAAGGGCATATTGATCTCCAAGGGTGCGATGGACCTGCATCAAGCCCTTGGTCAACATGATAAACGAGACGGTGTGAGAGGAGCTTTCAACCAAGACGCGTCCTTTTCTTTGGGCGCCAATTTAAGCGTGCCTCTGCGGCTGCTTCTGAGGAGTGTAATCGTGGGAGTATTAGTATTACAATGGGAATAAGTGAAGTTACGAAGCCTGATAATTGATCGTAAGCAAGAGCCACAGGTAATGCCTTACTGTGCGAACGCCGACTTATGACATCCCTTCATTCGTCCGTCGTCATTCCCAAAAACGGACTCACGAAATGCATCCCTGCTTGAATATTGACGAAATTGTGCAGAATATCGCCGGACACGTCGGAACGAACTCATCGCTCCATAGTTTCGCAGTAGTGTGCCGTGCGTTCGTCGAGCCGGCAAACGACAGGCGGTGGGTCGGTCTAAACGGTCTCAAGCCCTTGGTGAACTGTTTACCAGACCATCTGGTAGGCGCGTCCAAAACCTCTGCCGATACCCTGGTGAGCCTCCAATACACGTCGTGACCCGGGTGAACGTCCCCTTATCTCACTTGCGCTGCCGCGGCTATAGACTATCATCCAGCCTCCGTTGCCAGTTGATTGGCAGAGGTTTCGGTATCACGCCCACCAAGTCAAATCCCTTTGCGTGTATTCCGACGAAGTCACCGAATATGCGGTAGATTCAGCGGCTCTCGATATACTGGTGAGGCACCATCCTGGCCCCATCCTGCCGAACCTTGCGCATCTGGAGTGGGAGAGCTCTGTCCTCGCGAAATATGCTCCGCTTTTCATTCGGCATGCGCTGATCACTCTCAAATACAGGCCACCAATGAAGGACGAAATGTGCGCTGCTCTCAAGGGCATAGAGACGAACGCACCTCTCCTCGAGGGGCTGTGGTTCAGCGAATTCTCCTATGAAACATTAGGTACTCTCGATGCTGAATTGTCGCAGACAATTACCTCCCTGGGCCGTTTAACTACTTTTGTCTTCGTCCAAACGGTACCACGATCCGAGGTTCTCATGCACCTCTCTCGACTCCCGCATATGACTAGTCTGGGGTTATTTCTC